CTCTCTCTCTCTCTCTCTCTCTCTCTCTCTCTCTCTCTCTCTCACATACATGCTCACTCACGCCTCCATTCACTCATCCACTCCTGCATGCGCCCACTCATTTACTCATTCTCCCCCTGTCCCCGTCTGTCCGTCCCTCCTACGCATGTTCCACGCGTGAGATGGTCGTGTAACGTCCACTCGCGGCAGAATGAATAAGCAGAGCTTGGCGTGCCTCGGTCGTAGGTGGCGCCACTGTTTCCTTTCGGCCTTCTGGGCGGTCGGGCTGTGCCGAAAGAGTTGGGTCTTTGTAGGTGGCGCTAAGGGCGCTGCCGTCGGTGCAGCTATTAACCTGTTAATTGTTTAAGGTCAAGGGGCATACGTTTTCCATTTCGTTCTGGCTACAATCGCTCAGTTTTAGTAAAACCCACGGGGCCCAACATACTCCCAAAATTAATCACAATTTACTTCAAGGAACGGGTGGGCGTGGTCACGTTCACGATCCCGGTGTTAACTAACTCGAGTGGGTTGGAAGTGTAGGCAAATGCTGCCCGGCGGCATAATGCGTGGTGCGACCATGCACGTTACATGGTTCCTGTCAATTAATTGGGGTCTGCAGACTGTTCAGTAATCCGATCTGAACAAACGGTCCTTATCATACCTGAATGGTGTTTAATGGGCGGTGATAATTTCTCGCTTCCCTCCGTAACCAACTCTAGTTGTGTACAACCAGGGTGACATTTTCACGTCATATTGAACGGTAACTCGCTTGACGCTTAAGATTAAATTGTCTCAAATGATGCATCAACTTAACAACCGTGGCGTTTGTACGTTAATCTTTGATAAACCTCGAAGGGAGCGAGCATCGACATCTGTTAAATACCGATAATGCTAGGAGAGAAAGGAAATTGATGGACATATTCCGAACAGCGATCAATTTATAACGATTGAAATGGCGATTCAGCTTGGCTTCGGCTATATAAACTCGAGTCACGAAACGGCTCAAGGCTGATTTAATAACGAACCGGAAGGCGATTCAGTTTCCCCATGTTCTTGTTCTGGCGCTGAGCTGCCGAAGGAGCAGAATAATGTTTAACGTTTACGATGTTTTACTCTCCTTATCCAATTGTAACTGTAACACTAGATTGATAATGGATTGAAACGCTGGTCTACCGGGTCCAAACTAGTTAGATTATGAAACAGCTTATGCTAACCTACTAGAAAAAAAAAACGAATTTGTGGTGGTCGCGTCGTGAGGGCGTGATCATTGTGTTTCCGTTGATTCGTGATCAGATCGCCGCGGTGTAGTCCCGGTGAGCCTGTGATGTGATGCCGGCGTACGGTCGTGTGGTCGACGTGACAACTTAAAGATAATTACGTTAGCGGTCTCTGTGAATCCGAATCAGCAACATATCCGGAGTAACCCTCCCTTCTTTCCCAGACAGATTATTGAATTTTCACGCTATATTTACAAACGGACGATACAATGCTGGTCATTTTCAACCGCCAATGCTCGCCAATGCCAACTTAGCCTTAAATCTAATCCTAACGCCCTAACTGCAGAGAACTTAATTACAACCATCGCGAATTGAACCGTCATGACGTCATCTGACGTAGTTTGACGCGTCAATAGTGACCAGCGCCCCAAAAATGACACCACCTGACCTGTTCCCCTCCCCTCATACATTGAATCCCACACCTCACTGCGGCCAGACCGCGCGCGCGATGGCCGACAGATAGCGCTCCCCCCCCCCCCAACACCAATGTAATGGTGAGCCATTAGCCTACACTGACCATTACTGACCCGCCCCGGCTGTCTCGCTAACCCTCTCCCTACCCCATTGGTAAGGCCGGACTAGTCGGACCCATTCACACCCCTCCCCGTCTTTACAAACAGACGCACCACTGCCGCGCTGCTCGGTCGGAAGCGGAATGTAGCGACCATCTGCCCTCCCCTTCCCAGTCGAGTAACACTCCCACGATGTTAAATCCATTACCCTCTAATGGTGGCTCAGGTTAGACCCCAGGGAGTGGCATTTGTAATCCAGATCAGAGACATCCGATGGGTAAATGGGAGGTGAATTGTCCATGACGGGGAGGCAGTCTTGATGAGGCGGACAGATGAGATGACTCACTTGACAGTGTTTGATGATTGCTGTCCACTCCAGCTGAGGTCCGGTGCAGTGATGATCCGATCAGCAGAGAGGTCGCTCCGGCCGAAGCCGGGCGGGGCGGTGTCCCGCGTCGAGTCCCCAGGCGTTCCGTCTGGTGGTCGGCCTCCGGTGGTCGGTCTCGGGTCTGTCTGAATCCCCTTCTCCTTCTGCATTGAGTTTTTGTTCTCCTGTGATTTCCGGGCCGGAGGTTCCGGGCGTCGCCGGGCCTCGCTGACCGGGGCAGAAAATTGGCGACATCCCGTCTCGCATCCGGAGTCGAGACCGTCGCCCTCCTCCTCCATTCCGCCGGAACGTGACGTCATCCTCACTTGCTCGGCTCATCCGTCTCAGCTGTCTCCTGCCGGATGACGTTTTCACACTCGATTTTCGCCGGATGTCGGTCCCTGCCTGTGCCGGACGGCTGACCGCAACGACATCCTCCCACCTTCCTGTCAGCTGCGTCGGCAGGATGTGCGTGGCGCCAGGCGTCGGGAGGCTGGTCCAGCACCGGCAGCAGGTGTTTCCGGCTGCGTTGCGTTTGTCGGCGGCCACTGCGCCGGCCCGGATGGGTGTGTTTGTACTCCACCCTTCGGCGAGCCTTTGATCTTCGCTTAATGGTGACCGGCCGACGAGTCGGGGATCGTTTGGTCGACTCCCTCCCCACGCCGGCTCAGCGCCGCGGCAGGCAGTGCGATCGTCCTTACGTATAGAGTGTGAGAGATGTCCTTTTTGATGTACGGAGAAAAAAAATGTCACAGCTTCCAGCTGTTACAGTAGCTGGCTAGATTTATTACTTAACAAAGCAGGCTCTCTGCACACTGCTGCGTTGGAGGGGGGCGGGGCTGCGACATCCCTCCACCCATACCTGATAAGTGATTTTAAATCTTTTCTTAACAGTTGTGATGGCGGAATGAATCAGACCCAGATCTTTCAAGGTCGGGTCACTTAGGTTACGTTATAGTGTCCTAGCCTCAGGAAAAGTTATAATGCTCGCCGGCACTGAATAATGCTCGAGAGATCAGCGATCGACCCGAGATCTTAACCTTCACACTTACAGGAGGAGTTCAAACCGATGCGTACCTCACGGCTTTTTCACGAATAACTCGCGTAAAAAGCGACCGACCGACCGACCACGACAAAACTTTCAATATCTTCGAATTGATCAATGTTATATCTTCCCTAAAATTATGACCCTGAACCCAATGGCCTTTGACCTGTAACCTCTTTCTCGATACTATGTCAGGCCAAGATGCCGATTCCATGCATGTCAGCGCATATTATCCACGCGTTTCCAGGCATTTTGTGATTGGAAATATCAGGTCCCAGCAGGTGAAATGATCAGGGCCGACCTGATCATTTTAAATGGCCGATCAGGAGCCGAACGGCTGTAAGGCGGGTTCCTACGGACCATTTCCATCAGTAGACGCTATAAAGCGGCCAATACTGGGAATGTTAAAAGTAATTACCAGTCACTGTGTCTCGTAACCACGCACACAATTTTTTGCTTAATCTGAGCCAAACGACGGAGGCCGCACCCGCTACCCTCTGGCCGGATTACATGTGTAACACGTAAATGTCTGGCGAGGCTCGAAAGGGAAGCATCAATTTTCATTTATCAAAACTTTCATGCCAGGAAAAGAATTACTACGCTTAGCTGGTGTCTCTGTATAAGTATTCATAAAGCAGCGCCTTGTCTGCCGCCCTGGCAGCACCGAGAGCCCGCTCACTCGCGCCCATCCCTCTCCTCCCTCCTCCCCCCCCCCCCCCCAGGGTCAGGCGATCCAGTGGCCCTCAAACCTGACCGCCCTCCGCTGCGCCGACCCACCAGCGCCACCCTGCCATGCTGCGGTACTTTCAAGACAGACTGTACAGTAACTACCTAATTGTTCTGCGAGAACGATTCGTACACCGTGATCTGGTGGGCAGGGTTGGCATTTTTGCCGGCAAAAACTAGTTTATGCCATTTGCCGGTTTAAACCGGTTTGAACCGGCAAAAAACTGGCAAAAACTGGCAAAAACTCAGAAATATCACAATGCTATGCCTAGACATGATTTTGAACAGGAAACATTTTAAGGAGAACTCGGTGAAAGCTTTATGCTTTCAACCAGAAGTGACATTGACCATTGAAATGTTTCATACCACACTCAGAAACATTTTCATGGGCTTTCCATAAGGAGCTAGTAAGATGCCTTTTGGGGGTGACAAATGAGCCAGTGCAAGGGTGACTGGGTGAGTCCTGCACAATCAGAAGTGCGAAAAGGTATCTGCCACTGATATGCGCACGGCACCGCATGACACCCTACTTACCGTGGCCGCCTTGTCCCTCTCTCCCCTTACATGGAAATACATTCCGTTGTGGATGTCTACCGACATGCATAGACATTTTAAGCAGGGATAAGTAATGAGGCAACTTCAGAATGTTTAGTGCATCTATATAACTACCAGAAATGCATTTGTACATTTGAAATCCATTCCTAACTAGACAAGTTGTAGGTTTGGCCATCTGAGTTTTAGCCAGTTTTTGCCAGTTCTTGCCACCAGGGTTTCTGCCAGCCGGTTTAAACCGGTTAAAACCACTGGCAAAAACCGGTTTTTGCCACCCCCTGCCAACCCTGCTGGTGGGGCCAGTTCCTTTCCTCTGTTATGCCTCGCTGCGACGCGGCCTCTCCCCGTTGCCAGCTGCTGCTCGGGGGGGGGGGGGCAGAGGGCGTGGGCGGACGGGTCCGCCTTGTGATGACATTGAGCCGCCAGTCGCTGATCTTGGCTCTGGGTGGAGTGCGCCATCCCGTCCGACTGTGAAATCCCCCGGAACTCTGGGTAGTGATGATTCTATCCCCCAACTGACGAGGGCAATCTTTCTCTCACAGGATGGTGCAGGACCTGGACATGGCCTGCTTCACCTACTCCGGCTACGGCAAGAAGTTCATCAAGTCGCAGCGGATGAGCCCCGACAGCTACATCCAGATGGCCATCCAGCTGGCCTTCTACAGGTATGATCAGGAATCGAAACGCTGGTCCAAGAAGTGCGTGGTACAGTCTACAGAACATTAATATGCGGTACATTTGGCCTCGTTTCCGTTGCAGACACAGATACCTCATAATGGATGTTTCATTCATTACAGTTTGTGGTATTCGTAGGTGACCTACATTGACAGCCATCTGCCACAGCAATGACAGCTGAATGTCACCTACTGGTTTGGTCTAGTCCCGCTATCCATTCATCTGATGTTACTCAATAATGACGCCGTCTCCACGACTACTCCCTCTCTCCCCTGCCAGGATACACGGCGAGCCGGGAGCTACGTACGAATCGGCCGCCACGCGCAAGTTCCAGCGCGGTCGGACGGAGACGATCCGCTCGTGCTCGGCCGAGTCGGTGGCCTTCTGCCAGGCGATGCTGGACCCCAGCGCCGCGCCGACCTCTAAGATCGAGGCGCTGCGAAATGCAATCAACGCGCACAAGGAGTACGCCAAAGATGTGAGTGGGGAGGCTAGCGGGTCAGGGAGGAGGCCGGGGTGGGAGAATTGGGATGTGTGCGAATTTTGAAACGAGCTGGGAGCCTGAGCTTTGGCTGGCTTAACGTGACCTCATCCCCAGGCGGGCTGGGTGTCTGAACTGTCTGATCTGATCTGACCTGACCTCACCGACCTCTACTCCACAGGCGGTGAACGGCCTGGGCTGCGACCGTCACATGCTCGGCCTGAAGCTGGCCGCCATTGAGAACGGAATGGACGTGCCGGAGATATTCATGGACGGCGCCTGGTCGCGCAGCACCCACATGAAACTCTCCACCAGTCAGGTCAGATGGGGGTTTTGGGAGAGAGTAGTGGTTGGTGTAGCCATGGGGTGTGTGATCTGCGTTAAAGGCAGTGGCGCCCTGACATGGGGAGGAGGTAGCGTTTGTTTGGGTTTGTTGCTAGCTGCTGCGAACCTGGTGGAGCGTGATAGAGCGATGTATTTATTATTTCCCTCGTTTTCGTTTATCGTGTCCCTTGTCCCTTCCCACCTCGTACGTGAGTGTCCCTGTCTGCTCCCGCACCCCTAGTCTGACGTTTGGCCGTATCACACCCACAGGTGCCGGTGGTAGCGGACGCGTTCATGTGCTACGGCCCTCTCGTCCCCGATGGCTACGGCTGCTGCTACAACCCGCGCGACACGCAGATCAACTTCGGCACGTCGGCCTGCAACTCGAGCCCGGCTACAGTGGCTGCCGACTTCCGCGCCGCTCTGGAGAACTCGCTCAACGACATGTTCAACCTGCTGCACTCCGGCTGACGGGCTGGCTGTCACTGGGCAGAGGACCGGCTCGCTCTGAGAGGTGGACAGAGGCAGAGAGGGACGGCAGAGGAGGTGAGGTGGAGAGAGGCTGGAGTAATCGGCGGCGTGCGTTCCTCGAGTCTGCTCCGGTGGTGGTCAGATAATTTCGGCTGATGAACGGGATTGTGAAGCGAGTGACAGGGGATAACTTCTCCGGCGTATGAGCTTATTCTTCCATGTCTGAGAAGCTGGCTATTGTGTGCGCTGATCGCGAAGCGTATTGAACAGGCCTTTACTAGACGAATGCCAAAATTCCTGGTAGCGTAAGGAATTGACCAAAGATTTAGTTGGCTAAAGGCTCGGTCTTTCCAGCCTGGCATAATACTGTGATTTGTGAAGCACAATTTGGCTTTGATTTACTGCTGAAAAGCGTCACGATACCGTCTGGAAATGGTTGAGCTTTACCTAGCTTCATGATCTGCTTTTGCTATCAGATTGTCCATGTTTTCTATGCTATATTTTGTGCTGTCCACCGGTTGTGTTGGGTCTCATCGGGGTATCAATAATCTCTAGTTCATTTATGGGGCTATTTCTTGTTTTTCGCAGCAACCAGTTTGTAAGTCGGGCATCTGCACTAGGTTAGCTGGTCTTCGAAATTTGTCCTAGGTCAATCCCAGTTAAAACCGCCGGACATTTAAATCCTAACAATCACCCATCGATTGGCTATGGGCTGTGACGGTGCCGTGCTTTCAGAGGTGTCTGTCGTTCTGTCCTCTATTCCCACCAGATAATGTCCACCCACTGGTCCCGGTGTTCTGTCGGAGCTGTGTATGACGTGTCGGACTCCCCGGGATGGGGACGTCCAGTGTGCGTGTCGCTGAGCGAGTTACAGCCGTCACCACTGGTGTGACGGTCAGACCGTCTGCCACGGAGGAGCGACCTGGGGCGACTGTCCAAAGGGCCGGCATCCAATGTCCGGGCCTCGCCAGGTGCGCTTCCATTATCAATGCAATGCCAAACGTTATGGTGGGGACAGACTTGTGGATTGGTCCCGTGTGTCGAGTGTATGTATCTGTAGCTAGACGATCCCTGTATATTGACTAATCGCGCCTGTGTGAAATACATTCAACCGTGGAAGAGCGAATGTTGGTGGTATGTTCGCCGACCGGTCACCGAACAGCTGTGCGCGCTGTGAACATCGGGTATGGCCAAACCAACAGCGGGTATGGTCGAACTAACAGCGGGTATGGTCGGTTTGTACATCGGTTCAGTGCTCGGTTGGTAAATGTGAAATTGCCGAGCTCGGAGAATGTCGAGGCTTGTTTTGGTGTCTGTTATTGATTCGACAGGTCCGTCATCTCTCGTAAGGCACGGCCAAACGCCTACCGAGCACGACTGCCAAATCGCATCAAACTCGTTACGTTGAACGTTTAAACGTTGTTATACAGCACGACGCACCTGTATATTCACGATGTCGAAGCAACATGCAAAAGTTTACACCGTTCAAATGCATCAATACACCATTCAAAGCACATTTCATAACAATACATATTACGTACAAATCGCCCAATGACAAGTCGAAATCCCCACACCCCAAGTAACCAGTACCTTTTCACGTTTCGGCTCGTTTCTTCTTCTTTTGCGCCTTCTTCACCTTGGCCTTGAGAGCCTCCACGTCGATCTGGTCGTCCTTCTTCTTCTGCGGTTTCTTGGTGGGCTCTTTGGGCGGCTGGTAGACCTTGTTGCGCTGCTCGGTCCGCTTGGCAGCCTCCTGAGCCATCTTCTCGCGCTGCTCCTTTTTCTTCGCCGCCCTCCGCTGCTTCTCCAGCATAAAGTACTGTCCGCTGGCCAGCTCCTTGTCCACCTTGCTCTCCGGCATCGGTGGCGGGAACGGCGTGTACGCCTTCTTCTCCTTCTTCTTCAGCGGCTGCTTCCGCTTGGTGGTGTTCTTCTTCTTGAAGTTGGGCAAGAAGCGATCCCAATTCTCGTTTTTGAGCTGTGGGTTCTTGGCGAGCTCACGCTTGATCATAAGCGCCTTAATGTTGTAGATGGGGTGAATGTTGTTCATCGTTTCCTCGACGATCTGCCGCACGTGCTGGAGGCCTCTGTGGGGACCCAGTGCGGCCACCGTATTACCCTGCACCAGAACGTAGCAGTTGGTAAGCAGCTCGATCGCCTTTAGCGTGGAGCCGTTGGGGCCGATCAGTCGCTGGCGGCGCTTCACGAAGCGGTCCTTGTTGCGCACCAGCGAGCCGATCTTGATGATATCCGCGCTGACCTCGTCCTGCATCACCTTGACGGCCTGCTCGTAGGGCACGCTGCGCGCCATCAGCTTGATGAGGTCGCGCGCCTTGATGATGCTGTACGGGTCCCAGGTGCGGCGCGTGGTCGACACGGTCATACTGCCCTCGACGGCGTCCAGCTCGGCGCGGATGAAGTAGGGCTCCAGCGCCTTCTGCACGAGTGGCCACACCTCGCGCAGGTAGGCCTCGCGGTACTTGGGGAACAGGGTGGCGAACGAGCTGGTCTCCAGCACGCCGTGCGGATTGTGCTCCGGTTTGAACTCGGGCACCTTCAGAGCCCAGGCGTTCTCCACGGGGCCGTCCGGCACCTCCTGCTCCTCTGTGTCACTCATCGCTGGGAACTGGCGGCAACAGCAGAATGGATGTGTGCATCAGCAACAAGTAAAATGGCTACAGGAAATAATTGAGCTACATCCTATCTATGCTGGAATTTAAACCTTGATCCTATTTGCAGATCTAATCTCAGGGCCAAGGTACTGGAAGTGCACTCGATCCAGAATATTTAAAATTATGTTTTTTTTTTTTTTTGCTCTGTTTGCCTAGTGCCATCCCCCAGCAGGGGACAAATTCGAGTTGCACAAGAATCATGTTAATTAAAAATGCAAATAAAGCTCTTGGCTTTATCCTGAGAACAGTACTAACAACACTCTGAACATCAAAATATTCACTGGACACAAACAGACAGTGAAACAAATCTTGCACAAAATAGTTCAATAAATGAAAAAGAATGACTTTAATGCTAATAGTGGGTTAAATGCATTTGAAAAAGTCTGTATCAGGCATTACCCAAAGAGACCAACACTTTCTGACAAATCACTATACACAGGGACCTTCAAGTATTTGACAGTTACATTAATGTCAAATGCCCATGTATTTTGAGATATGAGATAAGTGATCATTTAATCAATCATCAAAATGTTACTATTACCACACTGATATCCCTACAGATAAAAAAGTAGGTATTCTCAGTTTACCAGTTACCTGAAAAAGTGAATAACATGTTATCTTCCTAACCACAGTTATCAATTTCCCTCTTTACATTAAAAGCTACAACTGCAGTGATCCAGTACCAGCAATGTAAGACATTTGGGCTTTGGCAGTACCCTCATGATTGAGATGTGAGACTCAGTGTTACCTGTTTGAATATTCTTATTAATAGTCTCACACTAAGACTAAGTACTAAGTATCTAGGGATATAGAAGACTGAATTTGGCACCAAAGTGATTGAACTTCTGCACTGGCACAGCACTCCCCATAAAAATGATGTACCTACTGATTCTGAAGATACAACAGGGTGACCAGGGAATAAGTGACATACCATCTTATCATCATTTTCTTTATAGCAAGTGCAGACTGCAGAGTTCTGCAGTGATTATGCCATGAAAATTTTAATTTTTCTCCTGACACATGATACAGGCTGGTAAAGAATTCCTGCCTGGCAGAGAGCTGGGCACCATTTGATAGTTGTTTTTGTCAGAACTCACCTGTTAGGTTTCCACAACCTCGGCTCGTAAAGGAAGGAGTGGAAACCTATTGCGTGCAGAGACGCGCCAATTCCTTGGGTGGGCAGATGGCTGGACCTCAGGCAAGGAATTGGAATGGTGCGTCTGCATTTGGTAAAACACTGAAAAAAGAAAACTGATGCGTGTTTTAAGTGCCAGAATCCTAGACAAGATGATCAATTATGTAAATGAGAAAAGAGGGTACCGAAATGTGATACGTTCTCCGAAGGAAAGGTCAGGATAGGTAGCCTAGGTTAGTCCACCCGGTCCAGCTCGAGAAGGGCGGGCAGCAGCTACCTAGGGGTAAGGGCGGAATGTGATAGGTAGCCCAGGCGCGTATAACCCCGCCCTAACTTGGGAAGGGTGGGGCGCTTACCTGGGGGGGGGGATGAAGGATGAGATGTGAATCGTTTGCCTTCTCTTATCCTGTGTGTTCGAACAATCTACCTCCCAGTGCGGCTTTCAGTCCCTTTTTAAACTGCACCAGGGACTCCTCGTTCACCAGCCAATCTGGGAGGGCATTCCAATCGCGCACGACTCTGTGGGTGAAAAACCGTGACCTTGACCTTGCATCTATGAGACTCCGACACGTTTTTATCTTTCTACTATGCCCGCGCGTTCTGTTGTCGGCCTCCAGATCCCAGAGGATCTCCGGGGATATCTGACTGTGGCCGTGAAAAATCTTCCAGCATTTGATATCGGCTCGAAGGAGGCGTCCCTTCACAGAGAATAGGTCAAGTTCCTTTAGGCGATCACCATATTCCATATTGCGGAGCCCAATCACATTGCGAGTCCGAACCTTTGAACAGACTCTAATCTTTTGAGATCCTGTACATAGCCACTGTTCCAGATCGGTGACGCGTACTCGAGAATGGGGCGAATGTGAGATTTCAGTATATGAGTCATAAAGTCAACTGTCAGAACACTGTCAGTGTTCACGTGTAAATGTGGATCTTGGGCCCTCATAGTCATTGGTCACATGAATCTGACCGATAGGCAATAAGCCAAAAAATAACAGCAAGCTGGCAGCCCACCAATAAAAAATGGACAAACACCCTGACCCTGACTAAAGGTGGCATGCGCCACACGGGACACTGAAAGATATTTGCCAGCCTGGTTAATGATAGCAACATGTCAACTCTGATGTCATGCCTTGCAGCCTGGCATCTAAAAATCCCTTGGCAACTTACACTATTAATGTTATCTGACAATTTGCTTGTAAATTGTGATAGCAGTGGCCTGCCGCCAACTTGAACTGAGTGGTAAGTGGGAGCACTGTTAGCATTAATGTTAAAGCAAAAAATATTAAGAACCATACAGCAACTAACCTACCAGAGGTTTCAGAAAATTACTTTAATTTGTCCTCTATTATATCTGCGGCTTCCAAAGAAATTTGAATCAGTAACCTCGCCACTGTCTCTCTCTAGAAATAGCATTCGCCAGTCAAAACACGCGAGTCGTTTCATCAAATTGTAATGCTGAAGTGTGAGAAATGACGTCATAGGTTTTCCACAGTATAATTTTAAAGGGAATTGACCCGGAATAAAATGCTTCGACATGTCAATGACAACATTAATTTGGATCAATGCAGTCCCATCAAAGGATTTTAGAGTGATTTTCTTGAGCTTGACTCAGCTAAGCATCCGAAAGTCCCTGTGGAAAAAATTATATTTTTCCCGTTTTGATTACGTCACGAAACGCTCAAAAGTTATGTTGTCTTGCTGTTGTCACGATAACAAAAGCTTCGTAACCACAGGGGAGCAATGCCGCTTCAACCCTATTGGCCGTAGTGTCTAACGGTGGCGGCCATATTGCGCAGACCAGAAACCGGCTGCCGCCTGTGTTGAGGAATAGGGAATTCGGGACCTCGATTTACGTTTGCGGCCGCCGTATCCGTTACGTTCAAGTTACGTAGATACGGAACCCGGCATCTTACGCAGAATTGAGTGGGGAACACGATCGTATCTTCAGAATTCCTCAAATTCACTCGCCTGACCTACATTTGCCCCGGCCGAGGGGGTTGATTGAACCCACCTCCCTAATGCACCGCTAATTAAACTAGAATTAAGCGATAAAGTGGTCGTATGCGGCAAAGTATAATGCAGAGTGACTGGTAGGAACCCGCTGTAAGGGTCTCAGGTCAACCGGTGACCTCTGAGGTCAGGTCAAGTGATCTAAGGCACGGGTTCGGTTTTTGGTAAATAACTTCGCCAAAAATGGCCGTAGAGCCGCGATTTTGGCATCATCGTGTTCAGCTAGCTCAGGCGCATCGAGTGATATACTTTTTGTTCGGGTCAGGTCAACTTAGGGTGTTGACCTCAGGTCAAGGTCAGGTCAGCACCCCCAGGTCACGAAGTTGGTCGAAAGAGGTCATGTCGCATATCATTCGATTCGGCAGGTCTTCCTTAGTCCATTGGTGGCTTTCCCGACTCGCTAGCTCAATTTGATCGGGAGTTATTGAAGAAAAATGGTGACCCTTGTGACGTCACAAATGACGTCACGCAAGGGCAACAATGCAAATATGAAGCATAGAACCTTGCAAAGAGTGCATGAAATCATGATTTTATATGCTTGAGATAGTTTCAGATCATTCTCGGCGCCAAAATAACAATTTTCATATTTCCCCATTGACTTATAAGGGTTTAACGTATTGGTTCCTTATAGCTGATGATTTTTTAGGATTTCATCTTGTTCTCCACTCAATTCTGCGTAAGATGCCGGGTTCCGTGTCCACATAGCTTGAGCGTAACGGATGCAGCGACCGCAAACGTAAATCGAGGTCCCGAATTCCCTATTCCCCAGCACAGGCGGCGGCCGCTTTCTGGTCCGCGCAACATGGCGGCACCGTTGGACACCATTTGGCGGCCGATGCGCATTCCACATTATAGAGTTCAGTGTTCGTAACTGAATTAGTTGCGTCGTTATCGTCTGCTAAGATGACTAAAACAACGGTACGAAATACAAATTTTTGCAAAATCATATTATTTCAAATAGCCCCTCATATAAGTTGACAAATACAACGGGCTCCAAGTAAAGTTTATGTCAAAACACATCAAAACATGGTATTGATACAATTGGAAAAATGACGTATAATTCCAGATTTTTACCGTCACCGGGACAGTTTCTTTTTAGTGTCATCACTGTCCAGAATCCGACTCATGGCTGAGCAGAGCACGGTGACAATTTACATACTCCCAGAGGTGCCGGGTGCACGCCGCACGGTAATAGTTCGAGTTCAAGTCCACAATGGCGGAGACAGGCTGTGTTTGACGGAGCAGGGGCAGCCAGTTGAAGTCTCAGGTCAGTGAGCTTGCATTGGACCGTGGTCCGTGTGCGGTGGCAGCGGCTCAATGTATGTAACGTGAGGTCATGGGTCGTGGGCAGCGGGCACGCCATAACTTCTTTGCCATTTTCACGGCAACTAGGATTTCTTATAATGGTTATTAAGTGCTGCAATTGCAATCGTTGCTGGATGAGCTTTGCTTTGTAAGAAGAGCCCGGCAAGTGCGTAGACTGATCGCTGACGGCTCGGGCAAGTCAATCCGTTCACTATGAAACGTTTGAATTACGCGAGAATTCGAAGCTACGTGAGGCGGTACCTACCGTCTACCATGACAAGGCGATCATCGGAAGCAAAAGCCGAACGCATAGGCGCAGGAGCCGGGGGGGGGGCAGTGGGGGCAGCTTGCCCCCCCCCCCCAACTCTGGGGCCGTGGGGGCGATGCCCCCACAGCTTTGAGACGGAATATCACACTTTTTTTGCAAATGTTTTCTTTTTTGTTGAAAAAGCCAAGGAATGAACAATAAGTGGCCTAAAACCGGTGAGAAAACTAGATATG